ATAGCTCCAATTTTCATTCTAATTAATATATATATATATATATAAATGTATGTATTTATTAGAAGTCTGGAAAGGTAACTTCATGTGCAATATTAAATGACCTAACTTTAGTTCATTCTGAAAAATGACTTTCAATGGTTTCCTGGGGTTGGAGAGGCTGTGGATGACTCAATTCAAAAGTAATGCAAACTTAAAGGCACTGGTATGATGGAACCGAGATGAATGGAAAAGGGATTCAAGAATGAATCTATTCACTGAAATAATGTTTTGTGGGTTGGCTCCTTGTCCGACTACCGTTTTATTGGTACTGAAGGGAACTGACAGGACTAGTGCTAGGAAAGGCAAAAAGCGAGGTCACACCCGAAATGGGCTTCCTTTCCTTTCCCAGGCAAACCCAGTCTTGCTGCTAAGTCTTTTTCTAAGAGGCAGCTTGTCCTGGTGGATCAGTTTTTCCAACTCCCTGGCTAGGAGAGCTCACGAACAACTCCACCCCATCCTCCCTCCACTGCACAGGAGGCAGAATTCCCCTCTAAGCTACAACTCAGCATGGTGGGGTGTCCAGTGACTCTAATCAAACTTCTTTGGCTCCTTCTGTTAGGAACTTTTATAATTCTCCACTGGGCTGAAGAGGCGATGGCAGCAAATCCATATTAGGAATAAATTCTACACCACCTATCAATGTCTGTTGTAAAAAAAAATGGGGATGGGATATAAGAGCAATGTCTTTCAAGGATAAACTTACCTTCCTCTCCCCATGTCCTTTCCCACTGCACTTAGTCAAAGTGTATTTAGGACACTCTGCCAGTGTCAAAGTCCTAGGGACACCTTTCCCAAGTGTCCGATGCTGGCAATGTCTCTGATCCACCCCTTGAAGCGGAGGGCTGCAAATTGCAAGAAAAAGCAGCTTCCACGTGAAATACCAAGAGCTGCATCTTGTGTACCCAGGAACCTCGTCGCCGACAAATCTCTGTGTGTGTGTGTGTGTGTGTGTGTGTACCTACGTGCACGGGGACTGGCTAGAAATCCACTCCTACTTCTTCCATTCAAGACCTGAGATATTTATTGCACACACACACCAGCATTTCTACAAATTAAAAAACAAAAATCGCTCACAACTTTCCCCCCTTATTATACAACGCGCCGTGACTCCTCTCTTTGTAAACCTTACTCAGAACACCCTGCAAGTCCACCGTGCTTCTAAAAAACACACACACACTCGCCCAGCCATCCAGTCTGTTTCCAGGAGAAATACAACACAAGCCATCCATTGCATATTCCCAGAGATCTGAGATTATGCATCACGCTCCCTGCCTCTGACCAAAAGTGACCTAATATTAAATGGGGGTGGGAAGTGTCGGTGGAAAATTCTCTCAAGACTGGCACCAGAATAATGCTTTCTCCTGGAAACATGGGTGTATATTTCATTCCTAGGAACTCCACTCAAGTTTCACCTTCTATCCCACCCAGAGACCGTTTTTTAAAAGTTTGGTTTAATGCTGCACTTGAAATCAGCTCCAGCTTGGATGCATTTTTGCCTATTTTGCACCTACATACAGTAGTGCATGCATACGCTCTTCAGCATTCTTTATCTGTCCTGACTATGCAAAAGGCAGAAAGAGCTCGGTAATCCCAACAGAAGAATGCAAATAACGTCAATGCACAGCTGAACTGCAAAGCCCTGCCTTACAGGAACTGTGTGAGTGAGAGTGTGTATGTGTGTGTCTGCAAAAAAAGGCATACACTAAACAGGAAATGCAACTGAGAGCTATGGAAAGCCTCAAACTTCAAAATGCAATTGCATCCCGAAAATTGCATTCATGCACTTGAAAATGCATGCACGACTTTTTGCATATTTTGCAAGGAACAGAAGCAGGATCCTTACCTCTCGGCTGAGACATTTTCCCCTTTGCTTTGATGGGGGAGGGGAGCACAAAAGACTTTGCCTTGCCTCTCTTCTGTAGCTAGTTTTGCAACAAAGATGCAAACTGCAAGCGCCCAATCTTCATGCAACTGGAGTTTTTCTCACTTGCTGCAGCAGATCTCTTTGCAGAGAGGGGAGGTGCAATTGCACACCTTGCAAAACTGACTGCAAAGTGGGGTTTTTTTCCCCCAATTGCAATGGAAGGGAAGGCTCTGCTGCACCTACATGATGGGCCAGGGCTGGCAGCTAAAAGCTCCAAACTTGGATCTGAGTAGCTTAGTGCGCAGACGTCCTTCCTACGAGCAACGCGGTGGTCGCTGGGTAATGTAGTTTCCCGGAGAAGTCCATGGAACGCTTCCTTAAGGGAGAGACAGTCGCCCTGGTGCATCGCCAAAATTGCACGGCGCAGCCCGGCACAGCTGGAGGCATTGCAAAAAGGATCGGCTCTTTCACAGGGCTCCGGCACAGGCGACTTGCACGTAAGGTCTTGTGCTTTCAGGCAGAGACACGGCAAATAGCAGCCTAATTCTGGGCAGCTTGGCTCTGATCAAGCTGGGGGAAGAGGCAAATTATTAACCCCCCAGCTACCATGTTCCTTTGGCCATGGTGTGCATGTGTCTGTGCATGGCAGTGAGTGATATAAGTGGTTGCTTGTGATACATGTGGGTGCAAAATGTCTGCTTAGCAACACTGGTGTATTCCAGCAGAGCCGGATCCAAAGATACATGGCTTTGGTCCCTACTCCCTGACAGTCTCCATCCAGCAGCCTCCAAGGGCAGCCCCATTCCACTGAATCCATGAAGCTGTCATTCAGTAGGGGGGCAGTTTGCAAACCCCCAGGCTGATATTATGATATGGACTTCCCCTCTCCCCCCCCCCAAAAAAAATAAAAACGTCCATGGAATTTACTGCTTTCAAAACTCAGCACTAGACTGATTTCTTCAGTCTGGCCTTTCGTGTTTGACGTGCATAGTGCACATCGATTCGTTCCCAGTCACAGAAATAAACACATGCATTTTACAGTCTAGTCATGCTGTTTCTGCCATGAATTGGGAAGGAAAAAAGAGACAGTTACTCCAGTTGTTAAATACTTAAGAGGAAAAGGGACTCGAGTGCATAAAAGTCTGTAGATTATAGAATAACAGAACACTAGAACTGGAAGGGACCGCGAGAAGTCATCGAGTCCAGTCCCCTGTCCTCACAGCAGGACTAAGTACCATCTGATCATCCCAGGCAGATGTCTATCTAACCTGCTCTTAAATATTTCCAATGATGGAGATTCCACAACTTCCCTTGGCAATTGATTCCAGTGCTTAACCACCCTGCTAGTTAGGAAGTTTTTCCCAATGTCCAACCTAAACCTCTCTTGCTGCATTTAAGCCCCTTGCTTTTTGTCCCATCACCAGAGGTTAAGGAGAATAATTTTTCTCCCTTCTCTTTGTAGCAGCCTTTTAGGTACTTGCAAACCATTACCAAGTCCCCTCTCAATCTTTTCTCTTCCAAGCTATCTAAACCCAGTTCTTTCAGTTTTCCCTCATAGGTCACATTTTCTAGACTTTAATCATTTTTGTTGCTCTTCTGTTGGCCTTCTCCAGCTTCTCCACATCTTTCCTGAAATGTGGTACCTAGAATTGGGCACAACACTCAAACTGAGGCATAATCAGTGCAAAGTAGAGCAAAAGAATGACTAGTCATGTCTTGCTGACAACACTCCTATTAATGCATCCCAGAATGATGTGCTGTAGAGTTTAAATAAGACATTACGGAGACCGTTCCATAGAACTTATTTTAGTTAAAAAAACAAACCACGTATTCAACTGATTAAGTAATTGAGAGATGCCAAACAACCATTCCTCTTTCAGTCAGGTCTAGAAAAATCTCCTGCTCCGAGTTTTCCAATATTTCCTCTAGCAAATACAGAGGAGATAAAACTTGGCATTTACTGAAGTCTCCAAGGCTAAAAAAAACAAATCAACATGGAGAAAAATAATTCTGAAGGGAGGAATTAAAACGATCTAGATTTTTCCTTTCTCCATCATGAAGCAGTAAAAGAAAAGGTACAAACATGTTTTTCCTTTCTTCAGGCCTGTATTCAGAAGTACCTGAAATTCTTGTTGCATTATTAATATATAAAAACTAATCATATTTGTTTCCTTTATTTCCCTGTATTTCCTTGACCTCTTTCATCATACAAAAGCGTGTGGTATCCAGGCTGTCAAATGTTATTGTGAAGTTCTTTTCATATCATGGTTCCATTTAACGTTCTATTCCATTCATTTTTTTCCAGTTGATATGTCAAGGTCTTACATACAAGTTCAGTTAAGAAGTTTTTATTTTGAATAACTTTTATGAAGAGAGACTCCAAACTCAGACAGACTTTAACCTACTGGGTGCCCTTCTCAATGTCTTTATCTGGAAAAAAACTAAAAATGTGATGGTATTTTCTTAAAGAGCTGTAAGCCTTGCTTTTCCGCGGCTGTTTTATTCAGAGTGATCATATGTGCTTTGGTATTATTTTCCAATGCATATGCTAGGTAGTGTATTTTTATTGAAGAGTTTGTAATGACACGTTAGCATGAGCTGAGTGAGAATATTTTTTAAAACCATGCCAGTATAAAAGTGAAGATTTGATAAAAAGCGAACAACCTAGTACATTCTAGTTTAAACTCTTAGGCTATGTCTACACAGCAGCGCTATTTTGGGATACTGGAGGTATGTATTCCCTCAATAGAACAAGGAAAGGAATAAGTGTCAACTTCAGCTTTTAATTTCTTAGCTTTTATCAGATTATTTATCTGATTATTTTATTTTGTCAGATACTGGAGGTATCCCAAAATAGCTATTCCGCATCTTTTGAGCATGCCCATTATTTCGAATAGGGATGGAATAGTGTAGCCGATTAACTGATAAGCAAAAGCTTATAGGTTAATGCTATAGAGTATATGCATCCTTCCCTCCCACTCCCTTCCCCGGCCTTTGCCAGTAATTTTTTTAGCATGCTGGTCAGCAGCCCAGCTCAGTCCTGGCTTGCAACGGGTCCGGGCAGCAGCACAGAGCGACAGGCAGCCGGTCCGCAAGGGGAGCAGCTTGTTTTTAAACTGGTTCCTCTCACAGACCAGCTCACACCTGGCACCCCACGCTGCTGCCTCTGATACAGAGGCAGCAGCGCACAACGGCAGAGGATTCCTTGGGGGTGAAGCCGAAATGCACTGGCTACTGGCCCCGCCTCCAGGGACCATAGAATAGTCAACTAACCAATACGAATTAATGAGGTTATTCGACTATTCAATTAACCGATATTTAACATCCCTAATTTCAAAATATAACGGGCTTGCTATTCCGATGTCCCCGTAAACCTCATTCCACGACGCTTAAGGGACATTTCAGAATAGCAATTTATTTTGAAATAAGTGCTGTGTAGACAGTGCCAAATTTCATAACAAGCTATTTCAAAATAATAAAATTGAGTATCTTGCATATTCTGAGCTACAGGTGCAGCATAGACACACCGTTAGGGGGCTGTAAGGGTGCATCTACACAGCACCCTTATCTCGAAATATGCTACACAATTGCGTAGCACAAATTGTGTAGTTTATTTTGAGGTAATTTCGAAATAAAGCGCTATTCCAACAAGTCCCTTAAACCTCATGGAACTAGGGTTACAGGGATGCCGGAATAGCACGCCTGTTATTTTGAAATCTGTTTTGAAATAATGGGCGCGTTTTAAGATGCGGAATTGCTATTTCGGGATACTGGAAGTATCCCGAAATAGCCCCGCTGTCTAGGCGTAGCCAAAATTAATATGAAAGTTTTGACACAACTTGAATGTGATCTTGCTTCTACTGGGGTCTGATCCAGCAAAGAGTTACTCTTGTGCCTAGTTTGAGGTCAGTGGAACTGGTCGTGTGGTTAAAATTATGTGTGTGCACAGGATTGGCACTAAGGAAATAAAACCAGTGAAATCAGCTTTGGGGCCTAGGTCTTCTTCAAGCTACTTCCAACTCAAACAAGTTATAGTGAAGGAGACAGCAGTTAGACAGCACTTAATTTTTTTTATGTATCTATAATAGGTTTGTCTTCGCTGCAGAGCACTCGAGCGGCATGGAATGACTGTGTTCGGCATGCACGACACTTTAGCAGGAGTTTAAAAGTACACTTAACTAGATGCTTTTGTGCGTGGGCAGGAATTGGATATGGGCAACTTGAGTTATACCTCAAATTAACCCTGCAGTGAAGAAGCGCCCATTTGCAGTGAGGAACAAAAGGCTTAGTAGAACAAGGAAAGGAATAAGTGTCGACTTCAGCTTTGAATTTCTTGTCTTTTATCAGATTATTGATGTTCACTTTTGATTTGGTTTGAAAACATCCTTCCAAACTTCCCGGTCAACATGTACAGTTTCTCCCCCCCAAGTCTTGTACTCCAGTAAAGAGCTCACAAATCCAGACAGCTGCTCTCCATCTATTCCAGGCTATTTGTAGAGCCTTTACTGTGGACATGTTTTTCGACTGCATCTGGTATGTTGGACCAGCCTGCGTAACAGCCAGCCTTTTCCTGCATACAGATCCGCCCTCTCTCATGGGCCCCAGCCCAGGGCCCTAAGGACAGATTCCTCTGGGGTCCTGTCCGACTGGTGGGGCTTCCGGTCATAACTCACCAGTCTGTGGGCTACCTTCAAGGCAGCCCCGTCTTGGGCTACTTCCTACCCTCTCGTAGGGTCGATGAGGGATAGTTCTTATCTTCTTCCCTCCGTTTCTTCAAATCTCTTCCCTCTGGTCCTCTGGCCTCCTTAATCCTTCCTGCCTTTTCCCTCTGGCCCTCCAACCTTCTTCCTCCTTCCTCTCCTTCCCACTGGCCCTCCGACCTTACTCTTTTAAACATGGCGCCAGCCTCCACCCCTCCCCCTGGCGTTGGGGATGCACATTCCCCCTGACGTTGGGGATGCACGTTCCCCGAGGGCACGCCCCCCTCTCATGGGCATCATCTCCCCGCCCCCCCGAATGCTGTTCCCGGACACCGTGCCGGCGGCTTGCCGGCCCTCGCACCGCTCAGCCAAGCCGCGGCTTGGGAGCAAGCCACGCAAACGGCGGCTTTAACTCTGCGCACCCCGTGCAACACGGGGCTCAGCGCAGTCCTAGTGTGGGGCGGGTCTACGACGCCGGGGGGTGATGCCGCCCCGTAACAGAGCGACCCTCCATGAATTTATCTAGCTCTTTTTCGAACCTTGTTATATTCTTGGCCTTTACAACAGCCGCTGGCGCCTGGTTGATGGTGCATAGTGGGAAGAAATACTTCCTTTTGTTTGTGAAGAAGTGCTTCCTTTTAAACCTGCTACCTCCTTGTTTCATTTGGTGACCCCTAGTTCTTGTGTTATGGGAAGGAGTAAAATAGGGCCACGTTAACCCCCTCAGTGCCCTTCCTCCCACAGCCACGGGGCCCTGCACCGACAGGCACGGCCTACCCGGGCAGCCCCAGGCTATGTGCCAGTGGTGGTGGCCAGGCAGCGCAGGAGTCCTGCGCGCACCCCTGAGGCAGGCTCACACATGCGCCGTGCACCTGGAGGCGGGCCCGCGCGGCCCAGGGGGGCAGGATCGCGCCGTGCACCCAGGGGTGGGCCCACGTGCCCTGGGGGTGGACCTACGCATGTGCCATGCGCCCAAGGCGGCCCTGCTCATATCCCCCCTTTAGTCATATTTCTTCCAAGCTGAGACGTCCCAGTCTTATACTCTCGGGCTACGTCTACACTGGCATTAATTTTCAGAAATGCTTAAAACGGAACAGTTTTCCATTATAAGTATTTCCGGAAAAAGAGCGTCTACATTGGCAGGATGCTTTTCCGGAAAAGCCCTTTTTCCAGAAAAGCATCCGTGGCCAATGTAGATGCACTTTTCCGGAAAAAAGGCCCGATCGTCATTTTCGCGATCCGGGCTTTTTTGCGGAAAACACTACTGTGCTGTCTACACTGGCCCTTTTCCGGAACAGTTTTCCGGAAAAAGGACTTTTGCCCGAGCGGGAGCAGCATAGTTTTTCCGGAAAAGCAGCTGATTTCTTACAGTAGATCGTCAGTGCTTTTCCGGAAATTCAAGGGGCCAGTGTAGACAGCTCGCAGCTTATTCTGGAAAAGCGGCTGATTTTCCGGAATAAGTGGCCCAGTGTAGACACAGCCTCGCTGTTTGTGCCAACGGCTTTAACTGAAGTCCTCAAAAATAAATATTCCCCTGTGACGCTTCTCCAGGAGATCTAGGAGCTCTTATTCTGGATGCAGACAGCAGTCTTTACGATTCCTATTAACAGGAGATCCTTTTGCATGTAATTTCATTCTGTTCCTGGGTAAATTCTGCCTTGTCCATCCAGCTGAGACATGCTGGAAATTAGCTATAAAGTGCCAACGATTATGCATAGAACTTTGCACCCCACATAGGAGGAAGTTCATCCCTGGTGTAATTTAGTGGCATTATCACAAGGATGGATTCGGCCCATAATGAATACAGTTCCCTGTCTGGGAAGCTTACACACTAAATTCGGACACGGTGCAATTGACATGAAGCACGCAGGTGGGAACACACAGTGGAAGTAGATCAGTGTCGGGCTGAGTTCTTACAATCTCTCTTTTTCCTTTTCAGGTGGATTAAGCTGCACGAGCTTCCATCCTGAGTTTGAAGTGGAAGAGGAAGCTCAAAGCAGTTGTTGCGCTTCGCTGAGATGCAACGGGCAACTCTCCCAATGATCATATGGAGAATTCACACGTAGGCCAAGAAAGTGAAGAACCAGGGGCCGTTTCCGTTGTGCTGCATAGCAAATGGTAACAGGTTGAACTGTTTGCCCCACCATACTGAAAAATAAGGATGTGGCCAATAGGGATGTAAGAGTTTAACTGTTTAAAGGGGTAACCGATAAGCCTGAGCTCCCCATATGATAAGCCTGAGCTTATCGGTTACCCGAACGGTTACACACTGGCTCCTGGTCCGGCTCCTGGGGAGCCAGCTGCCACCCCGTGCTGCTGACTTTATATTAGAGGAAGCAGCAAGAGGCGGCAGGCAGGAGCTGGTACACGCAAGGAGCCAGCTTAAAATGTGACTTGTAGTGCATGCTGGCTCCTGGGAGCCGGTACATATGGGGAGCCAGCTTAAAGGCCGACTTCCTGCACATACCGGCTCCTGGGGAGCTGGCTGCCGCCGTGAACTGCTGACTCTGAGTGTCTGCAGCAAAGGGTGGAAGCCGGTTCTCTGAGATTAGGGCTGGCCGCCAGGAGTGCACTATCTGTAGGCCTCCTCCCAGGGAACCAGTGTGTAACTGCTAACATTTTTAACATCCCCACGGTTACAGTAATAACCATTTTTTAACATTCTTAGTGGCCAGCAGAGGGACGGTTCCTAACCAATAGATGGGACACGCTTCAAAGTCTGCTTTATAAAAAAAGATTACTTTTTAACATGCTTTTTTTTAAAGCAGACTAAGTGGTTCCCATCTTCCAAATCTATTACTTGCAAGTTTTCAGTTTTGATAATGAAGCTGCCTTTCCTTATAGGAATTTAAAAACCGACTTCAGTAGTCTAAACTTTAGACTATTCTGAGGGCTCTAATAGCTGTACAGTCTTAAAAGACTTGCAGCACAATTTATGCTGGAACTTTTATCATCAAAATAGCGATACCAGAGGTATAAAATCCTGCCTAAAGGATTTAGAGGGATCTATCATTATACGCATTGCTACTAGTCATTACTGTAATATGCTTTTTCCATATGTTGGAAAATGTGTGTTCTAGCAGATTTCTATACCACAACTTCGGCTGGCCCTCTTTTTTCCTTCCAACATGCCTCTAGTGACTTAAACCATGTTATGCAGTAGTCACTTGGCAAATGGTATTTTTGCCATTTTTAGTTATGAGGGCAAATATAAAAAGGATATAGCAACATTCAGTTAGTGGTAAGTTTGTATAACTTTCTGATGTCCAGGGTGATTGTTTGGGGGAGGGAAATAGCTTAAAATATGCTCCTGTTTAAGATCTTGCATGCCAAGTTTCATAGTCGAGAAAATCCTTACAACCAAGCAAGAAATCCTTGAAATTAGGGGTTTATTATGGAAATGTTGACAGACCTTTAACTAACACATCCTCAGTGGCAGTGTTACAATACAGTAGCCATAAGCTAAATTGACAGCAGCATGTGTAGCCTTCAAGCATTGCTCAAGCAACTTGGCAGCATTCTACAAACCTAGCCAGTTGGAAGATATATGTTCAGTTGTCCTTTTTCTTTCTGTTGTCTCGGTTTTGTTTTTGTGTCTGTGGATTAAAAGTAGGTGGATCTGGAGGCTTACTAAGTGATACACCCTTTGATTTCTAGCTTTTTAGCTTCTGGATTGCCATTCAAAGAACATTCACCGTGTGATAACAACAGACTCTCTGTTGCAATGTATCGTCCATTTAGAAGCTGGAGTTATCTTTCATTACACCGTTAGGAACGCTTTCTGCTTGCCACTTCCTTGCTGACTTGCACATAAAGTTGATCCATCCCAACAGTATTCTGTTATATATCTTGCAAGGGAAAGCATACACAGAAACTCAGAGCAAAACTTATACTGCTGGAACACAATGGCTACGTCTAGACTGGCATGATTTTCTGCAAATGCTTTTAACGGAAAAGTTTTCCATTAAAAGCATTTGCGGAAAAGAGCGTCTAGATTGGCAGGACGCTTTTCCACAAAAGCACTTTTTGCAGAAAAGCGTCCGTGCCAATCTAGACGCGCTTTTCTGCCAGCCAGGACTTTCTAATCTTGGAACATCCGTGGTCCGGACCAGAGAGTCCCAGTTTTTAGAGGTGCAACCTGTATAGCCATCATTATCATTCAAAAGTTACACATTTTGTGGGAATAAAATAAAGATATTAACCAGCAAAAGCCCCCTCCATTTCATTCCTCCTTCATTGGCTGTGTCTAGACTGGCAAGTTTTTCCGCAAAAGCAGCTGCTTTTGCGGAAAAACTTGCCAGTCTAGACACAGCCAATGAAGGAGGAATGAAATGGAGGGGGCTTTTGCTGGTTAATATCTTTATTTTATTCCCACAAAATGTGTAACTTTTGAATGATAATGATGGCTATACAGGTTGCACCTCTAAAAACTGGGACTCTCTGGTCCGGACCACGGATGTTCCAAGATTAGAAAGCCCTGGCATGCTGTGGGGGGAAGAAGGGGAGCAGAGCCTGGCCCGCTGCAGGTGGTAGGAGCCAGGCATGAGGCAGTGAGGGGCTAGGAGCCCTGCGTGAGGCCCAGCTGGGCTACCGGAGGTGGGGCGGGGGACAGGAACCCGCCATGCTGCCTGGGGAGCCAGGAAGTCCAGCGCATGGCTCACCTGGGCTGCCTGGGGGCTCAGCAAGTCAGCCAGGAGCCCAGAAATGAACTCTCTGGTCCGACAAAATCTCTCATCCTGGATCAGTCAGGTCTTGAGCGTGCCGGGCCAGGGAGGTCCAACCTATTTTGGTTTTATTGTAGCGATGCCCAGACCCCTCAGTTGAGATCAGCTCACCGTCGTATTAATCATTCTACAAACACAGCATGAGAGATCTACCTTGCCCTGCTGAGTTTGCAATCTAAGGCCCCGATCCTGGAAAGACTCACGCAAGCTTAATTTTAAGCAGAGTGACACAATTCAATTGTGCATAAAGTTTACTCTTTCTCGAGTATTTTCAGCACATAAACTTAAGCACCGATACAAGTCTTTTGCAGGGTCAGAGCCTTAGGGGTATGTGCGCACTGTTGTGGCACAGCTGCAGCATACCATGATAGTGTAGATCAGCGGTCACCAACCAGTAAAGCAGGATGTCCCGGTAGATCTTGGCGCCTCTAACAGGTGATCCTGACTGGTTTTGCTGGAATACTATGAAGTGCCGGCACTTCAGCTGCCCCTTCCCACACTGCCCTGCTGCCCCCTGGGAGCCTCCTGCTTGTTGCAAAGGGTTGGGGAGACAGGCAGGGGGCGCTAAAGTCACTTTGTCCCCCTCTCCTGTACCCCAACTTCACAGAGTGAGGAGGGCGGGGCCTCAGCGAAGGGGTGGGCAGGGACAGGACCTTGGAGAAGGGGCAGAGGTATTTGGGTTTGGGTAGGTCCTGGACTGACTTAAATTCAGAAAGTGATCTAGTGCTTGAAAAGGTTGGAGACCCCTGGTGTAGATGTTCCTAGGTCAATGGAACCGGTTTTTTCACCTGTATAATTAATCCCCCTTCCAAGTGGTAGTAGCCAAGTCAACGGAAGAATTCTTCCTCGCGACATCTACATAAAAGGTTGAGTCAACGTAACTGTTGCATAGACCATGATGCTTTTAACATCCCTGAGTAATATCATGAAATCAGGTTGATTCTTAACGTAGGCCAACCCTTAGATCAGTGGTCCCCAACGCGGTGCCCGCGGGCGCCATGGGGCCTGCCGGGGCATTTATGTGCGTCATCCGAATGATCTGGGCCGGCCCCACCCCGGGCGTGTGGCACATGAGCAGCCTCTGTCCTGGGCGCATGGCACATGTGCAGTGCTGGCCCCGGGTGCGTGGCACACGGGAAGCTCCTGCGCCAGGCGCGTGGCACTTGCGCGGTGCCGACCCCCGGCGCGCAGCGCATGTGCAGCCCTGCCCCTGGATTCACAGCATGTGAGTAGCCCCACCCCTGGGCGCACGGCACATGCACGGCCCCACCCCTGGACGCGCGGCGCATGAGTGGCACCGCCCCCGGGCACCTGGCAGCCCCAAAAGGTTGGGGACCACTGCCTTAGATCATAAGCAAAAACGATCTGTTACTATGGTGGAGAAGGTCTTTGCAGAAGCACAAACTAATTGTTGATGTGCATGACGGACCAGATGCACCAACAATTACTGTATTGTCAATAGACTCTCATTCACTGTAACGGGTTGGATGAAGCCCGGGAGTTTAAATTGCCAACTTTCCAGCTTACGTGATACTATATAATAATATTTGGCATGGCAGCAAACAGAAGACCAAGAAGTCTTTACCTTTTAAAATAAAGGAACATCAGATTGCTCTTGCAAAAATTTTTGCAAAGATTGCTCTTGCAAAAATATTGCCCAGGCTTTATGCCGGCTCTGTCTAAAAATCCTTGCATTCTGTTTCCCAGGATAAAGCAGCAGAAACCATTTGAAAATCATAAGAACGGCCATAGTGGGTCAGACCAAAGATCTATCTAGCGCAGTATCCTGTCTTTCAGCACTGGCCAATGCCAGAAGCCCCAGAGGGAGCGAACGGAACAAGGAATCATCACATGATCCCTCTCCTGTCATCCATTCCAGCCTCTGACAGAGGCTAGGGACACCATTCCTACCCATCCTGGCTAATCCCTCAATCTTTAACTTCCATTCTAACTTTTCTACAGTCCAGAGGTATAATGGTGTCATATCTTTATCAATTTTCAGGATTCAATCCTGTTCCCGGTAAAGCCAAGAGCAAAATTCCCTTTGCAAAAGTTCCTTCCCCGCTTTTTTTTTTTTTTTTGGTTAAACTTTGTCTCCTCCCACCAACATCACCTTACCATCCTCAATCTTTTTCAGCTGGCTGGCTAAAGCCAGGTGTACCCTCTGAAGAGCCCCTCCTGTCACTGTCCTGAGTGACTACGCTAAGGTGCTACAGCAGAGCGATCCTCAGAGCCCGTGCCCAATTCAATGTTATGCTTAGGACCATTCGCACCTCAGGGTGCTTGGGTAACTATTAAACATCGTTGAAGAGTGATTATTTTAGTCCTTACTCCTGTATAACTGAGTAAGTTGTAGATGTGGGTGCCAGACAGAAAAGTCTTACTCAGGGATGG